CTAGTAGTAACAAGAAGCCACTAGGGGCATAGGGGTATCGCTACTAGTAACAAGTGCCTTACTAGTGGTAACAATGTTAGCTATTAGAAACAAGTGCATCGCTACTAGTAACAAGAAGCTAGTAGGAGCATAGGGCATCGCTACTAGGAGCGATCGGACGCTACTAGGGATGGCCTCCAACCCACTGGCGATGCACGGCCGCTCAATCCCGAGCACTGCCTCCCTTTGACCTTTTTGCACTGGAGCCCTTCCAAGTACAGTTTGCAGCCCATCGGTGGCCCAAGGATTTGCTCTTTTCGCAACTGTGAACCCGTAGCGAAAGTGATTAAAATTGAACGATACAAGGCCTGAAATCAAACCTGTTGGCCTGTTGGCATGCAAATCGAGCTACTGATACAAATGGCGTTCAGAGTCAACATTGAGGCAGGTGGGGAACCAAAGGAGACGAAATCCTCCTGGAGGGACAAATGGAGCGACTAGCGACAAGAGCCTCATGTCCGGAGTCCGGACATCGCAAGCTTCCTTTGCTACTAATTCTAATTAACTTCTAATTACTTTGAATCTATCTACTTCTTGTTTCTAGTAGCTTCTTGTTACTAGTAGTAAGGCCAGGAGCCCCTAGTAGTGTCCTTGCTCCTACCCCTATTTTTCCGATTTTTACTATGGCTGAAGACCCTTAAGCTTCACTGTTGGTGAGAAATATGGAAAAACAACATTTCTGCACCATGGTCTGACCATATCGTTCACAGGAACCAAGCTTAGAGTCAGACCATTTCGAATGTGTCAAAGCCGATGACGCGAGCGTTCTGTGGATCAGCATCCCGAATTGCCTCGTGGGCATGACAAATGCTACAAGAAGACCTCCTATGAGCCAACTCCTTACTACTAGGAGCAAAGGACGCTACTAGGGGCTCCTGGCATCCCTACTAGGGACAAGGACGCTTCTAGTCACAAGAAACTTTTCTTGGGAATTGTTTCACCTGTAGTAACAAGAATACCTCCTATGAGCCAAGTCCTTGACCCGATGCAGACGGGACAAGTCGCGTCTGTCCTACTCTTCTCTTTGCTTTCTTATTTTTTCCCTTTTACCAAAGATTCTTAGCTCTTAGGTTGGAGCCCATCGCTACTAGGGTGAAGGACGTCGCTAATAGTTAAGTTTCCCTAAAAGATTGTTTCACCTTCTGTATGCACTCTGTCAAGGAGCTGCAGCAAGAGAGGTGATTCCACGGGGACCCTGGTCGTAGAGGAAATCCTTTATGCTCTCCAGCATCTCCTCAATTATGATTGTTTTGGAGGAAATAACATGAAATATTGTCCTTTTTCACTGAGTCAGGATAAAATCAGACTTCTCTGTCACGTTTTCTCCTCAGGCACATCAGGCTCCTGGAAAGCTGAAAAAGAATGCAAGAAGACTTCAATCTGTCAGATCTTTGCTCCTAGTAAGGCCAGGAGCGCCCCTAGTGGCGTCCTTGCTGCTAGTAGCGATGCCCTTTGTTACTAGTAGCATCCTTGCTCCTAGGAGAGGCCAGAAGCCCCTAGTAGCGTCGCAGATTTTCTTTCAGTAATTGTTGTACACGTACGTGCATGAGTCCATCTTAGATTCTTGGGGGGGGGTAAACTCCTGGATGTTCTCTGGATTTAGTGGTTGTGGTAGCAAGGACGCTATTAGGTGGAGGCCATCGCTATTAGGGTGGAGGCCATTCCTATTAGGTTCCTTTCGCTACTAGTAACAAGAAGCTACTAGTACTGTAGTGGTTATGATATATTTGGAGGTAACATGTTGCACAAAGTGTGCTTCACTTTGCTTCACTTCTATCCGCTCCTGGTAGATTGGCTGCGGTGCCTGACACAAAACAAGAATAGTTGGAGGCCGTCGCTACCAGTTAAGCTTCCCTAAAAATCCTCGGAACCAAACGAAGGACGCTACTAGGGGCTCCTGGCATCGCTACTAGGGGCAAGGACGCTAGTAGGGGCTCTTCTTCAGTCCGAGCACATCTTCAAGGAAGCTCCCCCGCCCTCAGGCGGGAGGAGCTTCCTTGAAGAAGCGTGAGCTATCCTGCGTCCTGCCGGTAGTAGCTACCGTTTGCTTCTACTAGCTACCTCTAGCCTCTAGCTACTAACTCCCTCTTCCCGGGCAAAAAAAGAGGTTTCCTTCAATACTAAGGCCAGGAGCACCCCTAGTAGCGTCCTTGCTCCTAGTAGCGATGCCCTTTGTTCCTAGTAGCGTCCTAGTAGCGTCCTTCAGTACGAAGAAACAGCACAAAGTGTTCTCAAAGCGTCACCTGCCCAGCTTCCCGTCGCACTCCGGCCACAAACTCGCTAGCAAAGGGTCGAATTGGCAGCATGCCCTCGGCTTGCATGAGCTCATGCGCAGAACCTCTCCTACCAAGCATGAAAAAACCGCACCTCATCGGCATAGCGCTCAAAGATTGAAGCAATGTCCTGGAAAAAATAGGAACATGCTGGGCTCACTGACGACGTTTCATTGTTCTTCGCTTTCCTTTTATTGTTGTTGTTTCCTTTCGTCTTTCACTTGGTTCTTCACCGTGTGGTATGCGCGTCATGCCTTATGGCATTTATCAGAGCAAACACCAGAGCCTCATTTCTAGTTGGAGGCCATTGCTAGTCGGGGGAAGGCCATCACTCTTAGGTTGGAGGCCATTGCAATTAGGAACAAGAAGCTACTAGGGGCTCCTGGCCTTACTACTGGGAGCAAGAAGCTAGTAACAAGAAGGCCATTGCAATTAGGCTCATGTCTATTCTATAACCGTTTTTTCGCACCAAGGAGTGCACCCGAGCACAACGACATCACAACGTATGTCCACTTTGGGCGCTCCGAGAACAATTCAATCTAAGCAGAAAAAAAACAAGGAAGATAGAAGGAAAGGACAAAAATAAATGTAGATATACTATGATATACTATGATTAAACTATGATATATGTTCTTTTACATGTAGAAATATCTTTCCTCTAAAGGAAAGATCAAAGTATTGTACTGGAGACCACTCAAACGTCTGGGGTCCTCACTACGACAACATGTTTCACAAGTGATGTCATCCGGCAAGGAGAAAGCACTGGACTCACTCCCCGACGGCAAGTGGCCAAGTACACACCACTAGGCAACAGTTCCAAAGTGAGGGCCTCTTTTCCCCATAGAATTCTGCAAGACATTTATGTCACCTGACACGGTCAAATCTCTTCCCTCCAAGGCCTAAATGGCATAACTTTAAGAAGACTACTAGGAACAAGTGCATCGCTTCTAGTAACAAGTGCCTTACTTGTAGTAACAAAAAGCTGCTAGAAACAATATATAGAATTTAATTATATAGAATTAAAAGAAAAATTAGTAGTAAAGGAGGCTACTAGGAGACAGGCCCCCCCTCTGGCCCCGCAAAATGGACTCAATTCGACCGCAGTTGATCCACACTGACGCTATAAGAACCGGTAGAAAGAAAGAAATATTCCTGAAGTGTGGAATAATATTCCTACGTTTATGTAACTTTAAGAAGACTACTAGGAACAAGTGCATCGCTAGTAGTAACAGGTGCCTTACTAGTAGTAACAATGTAGCTCCGAATGATCCACAAAATACACATGTTCCTGTTCTAATTAAAATCCTTTTTTGCACCGGCCGAGGAAGGCTCCATTCCAACGTAGCAGGCCTCTTGTGAGCAATCCCAGTGTGAAATTGAGAGCAGAAAGAAGCCATTGCAACATAGAGCTGAATTGAGACGACAAAGCGAGCCATTTCGACGTAGCATACCTGCCACGCTACTAGTAACAAGTGCCACGCTAGTAGTAACAGGTGCCTTACTAGTAGTAACAAGAAGCTATTAATTTATTTTTAATTTAATTCTAAGAGCTTTTTGTTACTACCAGTAAGGCACTTGTTACTAGTAGCCTTTGAGCCACGCGAGGGTACAATTTAGAGGAGGAATGCCCGCTTGGCTGATGCGGGTCTTTTGCGGAAGCCCTCCTGCGGCTGACTGGCGCTTCAGAGCGCTCATGTGATGGGACGAAAACAGACAACGAGTCGAACTGAGCAAAGAAGTCCTTTAGAGTCTGTGTTCTCAATTGGGTCAAATCGTGTGTTCCGAAATGAGCCGTTTGCCCTTCCAGCTCCAAAGATTGCTTACCTGTCCCCACGGTGTTCGAATTATGATGGGGCTAACCCTACCGGACCTTTGTCATCCAACTTGCAGCCGGATCATGGGATTGCCATGCTTTATAGCGATGCACTAGTAACAAGTGCCACGCTAGTAGTAACAGGTGCCTTACTAGTAGTAACAAAAAAGCTAGTAGTAACAAGGGCATTACTACTAGGAACAAGTTCTTGCACCCAACAGGTGACAAGCCCAGGCTCCAAACATCTGCCACACAGAAATAGACAATAGACAAAAGAACCAAATTAATAGCTTCTTGTTACTACTAGTAAGGCACCTGTTACTACTAGCGTGGCACTTGTTACTAGTAGCGTGACAATAGACAATACAAAAGAACCCAAACATTGCGTCTCAAGACACGTGGGATTTCAGCTTGGGGAGGAAGCTACTAGTAACAAGTGCCTTACTGGTAGTAACAAAAAGCTATCAAAATTAAATTAAAATAAATGAATAGCTTAAATAGCTTTATGTTACTACTAGTAAGGCACTTGTTCCTACTAGCCCGATCCGTTCCTCTCTCATCTCGTCTCGTCCTGCTCACTGACCCCTGCTGCGTAGGGTAGC